TTTATTACTATTCATTTGATTTCWAGCCAATGGCTCAGATGCTGATATTGTTATTTGGGATCCGCAAGCAACCCGCACCATMTCCAAGGATACCCATCATCATGCGTGCGATTTCAATATCTTTGAGGTAAAGTCACATATATATGTCTATATATACTATATTAAAATTCTCCCTCTCCCATAGGGCATGACTGTGCATGGCGTGCCTGAGTATGTGCTGGTGCGCGGACGCATTTGCGCAGAGAATGGAGAGGTTCGGGTTGCTGAGGGCTTTGGACGTTTCATACCCACGCCGTTGCGACCGGCTTTTGTTTACGACAGTATTGAGGGCAAGCTGGAGCAGGAGGGGGAGGGGGAGCAGGTGCCACTAAATGGCAGCGTAACTAAAAAGCTGGCCGAACTGGACGTTCACGTGGCTGAAATCGAACCTCCTTCGTCCATGTTCTCTGGCAATCCCACACCCAGCGTCGCTTCGAGTGGAGTTGGACGCGTGGATGGCAAGCGGGATATGCAGGAAACATCCTTTTCACTAAGCGGTATATTCTAAATTAAATTTTAAGAATATTTCGAATTTATTCTCCCCCTTTTTATTATGCATTGCAGAGGAACTGGACAAATCCGGCGTGCGCTCGTCCATTAAAGTGCACAATCCACCCGGCGGAAAATCATCTGGCTTTTGGTAATTGCCATTGAAGCTGTTCAGCAAAATAGGTACAGATATAAAAAAAATAAATAAATATATGTTAAGTTTTTGTCTTTGAAATGTATTTAATATAAACAAAAAAACACTAAAAAAAAAAAAAATTTACTGGTAAATGTTATTCGCAAAAAAAAAATGCTGGTTTTTAAATTAACATAAATTATTTATAATATTCATGTGGAAAAAAAGAAGCAATAATGTAAACATTTAATGGAATAAACATAATATAAATAATATATACAAATATATTTTATAAATATATATGAACTTAAAGAGGGTTTTTGATATTATGCAGCTGGACTACAATTTTAATCAACTAGACTTTAATTAGCATTGGAATGCAGCAAAAATACTTTATTTTATATTGAAATGCATACATATATATTTTAATTTACAGCCATAATACTTTCATTTAGTCCAGTGATCAGAGGTTAGTTCTTCAAGCTACTCTAGTATTTTAGTAGTATTTGAGTACTCTCTGCCCTCTTACTCTTACTCGTATTCTAGTGCTAGTAGTAGTAGTATGTATATACATATATCAGACAAGATATATATCTTTTTTTCCTATTTGACCTAAATTGAACAGAAATTCAAAGTAAAATTGTCCCATCAAATCATTTCCTATTCTAAATTGAATTCTCAAGCCTGCAACTAAGCAGCCCATGCCTCAGTAGAGATTATTATAGGGTGCTGCTATTAGCTGCTATTAGCATTCCACTTATAAATCCACGTAAATACAATGTTTCGCTGTCAAAATAAACAAGTTACCACAAAATTTCAAAGTGCAAAACAAAATGTTAGCAGCGGCGCAAATCAGTCCACGAACATGAAGCCAAGAGCCACAACAACAAGAGCAACTGCAGCAAAAGTGGCCAATGGAGAGAAGAAGCTGACAACAGCAACCACCAGAACGACAACAACAACAACAACGCGCAGCGCACACAAGCTTAGCGCAGCCTCGGTGCAGGCTGCTCCAAGAATCCAGGTTAAGCCTTGCCTGAACTCGGCCAGCTCCAAGCTGGCAGGCAAATCGGATGGCAGCAATGCAACAGCCGTGGGCAGTCGCAAGGCGAAGATCTTCAGGCATCAGGATAACATATCGTCCAGAATGCGGATTATTGCTGGCGCATTGCCCCGAGCGGCGCAGTGGCACAATAATCGCATTTATCGGCCGTCGTCCTCGAAGATCTTCGACTATGATCTGTCCAAGCAGGAGGCGCGCTTCTATGGCCAGTTCCGTACGCCCATGAAATCTGTGCCCGCTGACGAACTGCAGCTGCTCAGGTCTGGCAATCGCTCGTCCTACTTGGAGACGCGCTACGGCCATACGCCGGATGTCAAGTACAACTATCCGGAGGCAACCAGCTGGCGATATGGCTGGTTCCATCAAGTCAATGTCACAGCCAAATAGAAGAAGAAACTGATTCCGCCCACTCATGCTAAGCAAAATAGAATAGGGACTAGCGATCACCCCCAGCTGGCATTTCGTTTCCATGGCACAGCCAGTCGAACTTAGATGTACTTTTGATTTTTATTTCCTCTCTTTTTATTTTGTATTCTCTTTTCGTGTCTTTTCTACTCTCCTTATACATACCATACATCATAACAGCCCAAATTGATGCAAGTGTAGCGAAATGATTTGCCTAGCTCTTCGCATGTGTTGGAATGAGATGAGATGAAATCTTTGGTAAATGTCAGTGCATCCCATTAAATATACTAACACTAGTGTTTAACCTATTGAAAATATTGAGTTTGATTTTGGTAAAAGAATGTGAAATAGGGGAAATATCCATGCGTAACTCCCAAGCCTAGTAGAACAACACCTATTCATCTATGAGCCTATGTTTTATGCCGATCCTATAGCATGAAGGGATTATCCTGATGAATTCACCTTCATTGGCAAAACATTATATTGACGAATATTTAGATAAATATATATATATATATATGTTCTCAGAGTCTTATACGACCAAAAAGATTAGTTAAATTGGAGCTTGGCTTCAATTT